ACAGTCGAGGTTGGTCAGATTGGCCATTAGCAGGGATACCGTTGTTCCCAATGCATGCCTGAGGATGATAACTACTTCCCAATGCATCCTGTGCTCCAACCTACATATCGCTAAAGCCGATATGAAGCTACAGTCGCCAACGAGATTCTGCACTAGCTGCCCAGCCGAGGTGTCCGTGACGAGGAATCTGGTCTCCTTATTACTCGCAGGAATACTCTGATCGGATTCGATCTGCCACCATCTCCACGAGGAATGATTCCTTACAGCACTCGATAGTGGCCCCCACTTGGTGCAAAGAGGCTCTTGTTGTGGTGACAGGTTCAGCACGTCATCATTATTTCTGGTGAATTGAGGCATAGTCCCGGATAATCTAATGAGCTAACTTCACGCCAGAGACGAACTTCCACCCTACATTCGTCCTCCATTATCATCGAGTATAACAGCATCTTCATCGTCAGACCATTCAGGGAACTCCATTCCGCCAATCTCCCCTCCTCTGATCACGATTCTACTCTCCTTAGCGGTCAACACTCGTTCAGGCGATAAGGTCGAGGGCTCCGAAATGACAGACAGCTGCTGCTGCTGTTGTTTCAGCTGTGCCTTCAAGGGGTTCTTCAGCTTGCTAGAACCCGCCGCTCTCAACGGTAATACGGGCGATTTGCTCAGCTCTCGATATCTGAATCCAACAGAGGATTTGACAGATGCTCGGATCGAACCCGGCACCTGGCTATCATCTCATCTACTCTAGCCCTGCTATTATTAACCGCTCGCCGCGTGGGACTTTCCCTCCCCTCTCCTTCACAGGACTCGACCAAAACAGCTTCTATCTGCTCCAATCGATGGCGGCACGACTTCAATGTATTCAAAGCCTCCATAAACCTACACAGGTTCGATCCCCAGCAGCTCCATGTTCATACCTCACCTATGACTATTCACTAAACTATCAATCTTAGCCATACCCGAGGAGTAGCAACCGTCAGTCTCGACTATCTTCTGCGTTTCCTCAAAGACACGAATCTTGTCAGCCTGAAGCCATAGTATAACAGCATACCCAAATGACTCCTTGCACGCACGGCTTCCTCTGCCAAGCCAAGCGTCTCAGCCAAATGCCTATTGAACAGCGATCGCCGCTTAGGGTCCGTATTGGCATCCCTCCCAGCCACAAGCCATTGAGCTGATGCTAGGTATCTGAGGAACTTAGCACTACAGACGGCAACTGTGAATAGT